TTACGCTTTAAAGAGTGATTTTGACTGCATTACCTCTGCTACCACCGCTTTCCTCTAGTAGTCGTCCTGGTACCACCAACCAAGATATAATTTCGCTCTTTCAAAACAAATTAACATCGCACAACGTGCATCTCCTCCTCCCTACTCCCAATAGGCTAGTGAATCTCTCTAGATATTTGTACCACCAAACGACATCAATTGTTATGGAAACCATATCAAATCCAAGATCCTCAAATCAAAGATCAATTTCTAGAAAACAGGGTTGAAGGACCGGGATTTCGATTTATTCAATCGGCTTCGGACATATGTCTCGACCGCTTCCACCAACTGGTGTTCCAGTTTGAACCCATCCTTCTCAACTGACGCCAATCATGTGCTCGATTTTCATGTCCACCTCTAAGCTCTCTAAGCCTCTGAATCCACTCCGTTGTGACTATCTCCAGGGATTGTCGTCGTTCATGGTCCCCGATTGTATCAAGGATTAAGATCTCAATCATTCATATCATATTCAGAAGACAAAATCCATCACCAACACCACCGACCTCTTTGTCTTAATCGTTGTATTCGTCGAAATCCCGATGTTGGTCGTCCTTGAAGTTCAAAGAAAGACTCAAGGGATTGTAATGAAATCTCTAGTGGAGGCTATTATATTAGACAATCGGACTTGATTCATTGCAAGGGAAAGCTGGGAAATGTGAAGTAGCAATTAGAGTGGGCGAGGTGAATGTTCTCTTCGAGGACGGAAAAGACAACGACGTCTTATCTTTATGTCATTTTTTATTTGGCATGTCATCTATCCAAAGCTCAAAGGTTACAGTTGACTACAAAATAAGATAGGATTTTGCTACGGTGACATGCATGATGCATGTCACCATGACATGGACTTTTCGGTCGACCTAATCTAAAATGCGGTCGATTGAATTGAGAGGTCGACCTCTTACATAATATGGTCGACCTCTTTGGTGGTCTAACATAATGAAAGGTCGACCAAAATACCTCATAGGCCGACCCTTGTGCACCTAACAGGTCGACCGCATTAGAACGCGGTTGACCGCCTTCACACCGTATCCGTATTGGATAAGGATTCCAACACCAGAAAGGTTCCACAATTGGACAAGGAAACAAATTGGGTCGACCCATTCACGTCCTAAATCTCTATAAATACGAATATAAGTCCCCTTCAACGCGACCAAGTCTGAATTAGGTTTTTACCGATTTAGAGCCTTTGTGAAGAAGATCGTTCGCGATTGCTGTTGTATGTGTTGAAAGTGGTCAACCACGTCGAAGGTGAGGTCGACCTAATGTAGCATTCGCCGTCATCTTTTCTATTGCGTGATGTCCACCGTCTAATTTGATATATTTTTGCGTGCAGAATACCATTCGGTCGACCTTGACATCAACCAGGTCGACCTGACGAGACAATTCTTCGGATTTGAATTTAGGGCACAACACTTGGACTTCCGTACTTGCGAGGTAACGAAGATTAACCCAATTGGTCGACCTAATGTGATTCAAGGTCGACCGTGTCTGTTTGTTTTGTTTATTCAACATGAATGTCGACTTTGGCTTTGTTTGTATGACTATGTTGTGCTTCAAAAGGTCAACCTCTCCAGATATCCGGTTGATTACTCGATATGTGCACATGTTTTCCCCTTTGTTTCTTGATTGTTTGAGCTTTAATTATCGCTTCTTTGGCCTATTTTACGCTAGACTGTGTTCCTTTGTCACATTTCAGGTACTAGCACATAAAGTGAAGCATAGGCACAAGTTTCAAGTCAATCAGAGATCAATTGGCGATTAGGGAGAAGAAACTCGGGCATGACCTGAAGAAGAATGGATTTCTACCTCAATTTATGGACAAATAATCATGCAATCTTATCTTGAAAATAAAGAGGACGAGACTACGAGCGTCTGGTATCAAATGGTGACTGATTCGGAGTCCGGACGAGGGAGAAACGAAGCATTGAATATAGGGGAACAAGTTCGGAAGTAAAAACACGGGCGCGCCTAAACCAAAACACGGCCGTGTACAGAAACAGGCACACCAGTGTTTTTATTGCCGAGAGCTGAACTGATGGAAAAGCAAAACACGGGCGCCCCTAAACCAAAACACGGCCGTGTCCATATTTAGGCACGATCGTGTTTTGGCCGACGCGGGCGTGTTTTTAACACGGAGCAAAACACGGGCGGGCAAAACCAAAGCACGGCCGTGCCCTCAACCGTGTTTTGCCCAGGGTCGGCCTTTTAGGCAGATTTGAGCCAAAGGAGAAGGAGATATGAGTTTTAGAGAGACAGAGCGATTCCTAGAGAGAGAGAAAGCGACAAGCAAGAGTTAACAAGTGCCCTAGCTTAATCTTCATCACCATTGGAGCCCGGCTTGAGCTTGGAGAAGTGTTGATCGACGACCAGGAGCAGAAACCCATCCTTCACAGTATGGTTTCCGCATCTGAATCTAGTTTTGCTTCGTTCTCCATGGAGTAGTTCTCCCATTCATCTGGGTATGGAGAACCCTAGATTTGTATGTTAGGTCTGATTGTATGAACCCAAGTACAGATTCTATGATTTGATTATATTCAATTGAGGTTTGAATGATTGAATGGCATGAATCCTGATCAAATTCCTGTTGTTTCTGCTTTAACCTAGAAAGAGAATATCTGCCTAGGTTGATAGAGCACCCTTAATTGAAGGTAGTGAATTGGCAACTTTAGTCGAGGAGCCAATTCACTATTCTATACCTAAGTTACTTCGGTAGTGGAGGTTTTGTTCGTTAGGGCTCAATCTGTTTACTCCGATGGAGGTTAGTCGCCCGCTAGAGACTCAGATTGAGAGGGTCTGGAGACCTTTAGTCGAGAATTCAGACTGTTTAAGAACCTTCCGCAGTATAACTATCATAGATACTGAACATGGTAATTGCAATCCGGCTTAACTGCAGTCTAGGGGGAACCATATCCGGGTGACACCGCTAGATAATAAGAATTCACCGCTAGATAATAAGAATTCACTGAGTAGTCATCACATCTAGGACACGGGTTGACATTAAAACCCAAACCCGCTATACTACGCTTTAGGAAGTGGTTACACTTGGCCATTTTCTATAGTGACAGTAGGAGTGAGTCACCGGTCGACCTATCCTTTTTCTGTTTAATATTGAACTTACTTTTTGTTGTTTTTCCTGCTGGATAGGTCGACCTAGGAATAACAGAGGTCAACCTTAATGGTTGTGGTAGTCACTATTTTTCTTCCAGGTCGACCTAATAATTTGTCAGGTCGACCACGTCTTTGTTTTTTGGTCAATTGTAGAAATTTGAATTTGAATTATGATTTGAATTTTTCTTTAATTGTTTAGACGATGACGCATGATGAGAGACTGCATCAAAATTTGGGTGAAATCATGAAATTGTTGAAAGCCACACAAGAGAAGCTGGTCGTGTGTCAAACACAAGTCAATGACTTTCAAAAGTCCATGCGTGATGGAGTTGAGCAATTGTCAGTTCGACTGACAGATATGACTGGGATGATGCATGACGGGTTTGAGAGGCTAGAAGGTGCTATCAAAGATATAAGTGCAGAACGAATGGAGAATGGCTGAAGAGATGGTACAGGAAAGAAATTTGACTTTGATAAAAAGGAGGAAGACCATGATGACTCTGCAAATTGCTACCATAGCATAAACGATTTATTGAAAGAGCACAATTTAAAGGTATCCAAGTATATTCATATGTGATTGAAGATATTTGTATTACTATCATTAGTGCTAATTTGTTTTGTTTATATGTTTGACAGAGTGAAACAACGAATGGCAGCAAGGGTTCCTCTCCTAAGTACAAGAGACCTCGATATGAAAGTGACTCCTAGACCACTCCACGGAAGGATCATTTTGTAAGAAAAGGATTATTTAGTGCTGATAGCGATGAAGATGAATCTAAGAGTCCTTTCGAAAAGCACGGGGTAAGTTTATGTTACATATTCATCTATAATGTGTGTTTGTGTTCATATGTTACTTTAATAGAGGACAAAGGAATGATGAGAGAGAGAGTGCAGAGAGAGAAAGTTCAGAGAGAGGGTGTGAGCTGTGGAGAGAGGGTGTCTGCTTCTAGTAGAGGGGAGAGATCTGTTGACAATGGTTGGTTGTTTTGCAGGTCCGAAGTGTCAGGACTCCCCGGCGGCAGCGGCAGGGCAACGGCAGGATGCTCGAGACAGGTTCGGATGGGGCCCAAACTGGTTACGCTGAGCAGAGATTTATTTGGGAGGATGAAGCTGTACAGACTCATGGTGGAAGAGGGGAATCGGAAGTGGTTTGTTCTGTTGGAGGAGGCTCACCTCGCTTGGTTGCAAGGGGTCCTTCAGACTGCGGCAATGAGAGGGTGGTCTTTTCCCGGCGGTAGTGTCAAAAAGGTGGGCGGTAGATCGATTCATGTTGGTAGGGGCCGGAATCGCAAGGGTCACTTTTTTCAAATCTCAGAGCAAAACAAAGTCGGCAAGATTTTCAGAGTGATCATCCCCCCCCCCCCCCCCCCAAGGATGAATGCAATTGGTGGGCTCAGCTCACTGCGCTGCTTCGTGATTTCTTTGCTTCAGAACGGGAATGGGAAGCCCGGGCCATCAAACCATCGCTGAAAACCCCTCCTCTTCAGGACAAGCGTTCTTTCGCTGATGTTGTCAAGAGTAATGGCTTCTACAGAGCTGGTCGATGTGCCATTAGATCAGCAGGTCGCGACCGATTCATTGAGATAGAAAGAGATGGGGTCAAAGAGCGAAGGGATCTTCTTGGAAGGTGCTTAATTGTCAAGTTCAACTCCGCTAGGCCAAAGGTGGTCTCTAAATCTTTTATCCCGGAGTTCAGGAGGTGGGCAATTGCTCACTGGGCTATCAATGATAACTTCGATTTGATGGATTTACCGGACAGGAAATGGATTTTGATCTGTCCTAGTGTGGCGTAGGCTTTGCGCATCGTGGTCTTGGACAATTATGTTTTTCGGGGTTTTTCGGTTCAGTTGAGTATGTGGATGGAGGTCTCTGTGGGAACTGGGTCAGGTCGACCCCTTGATCGCTGGATTTTGGCGTTTGGTATTCCCTTCCACCTTAAGAGTGTGGCCTTGATAAAATCTTTAGGTGACTTCTGTGGATCGCTGTTGGACATCGACTGGAACCATTGGACGTCTCCCTGTGTTAGAATCAGGGTCATGGCAGAGTGCTTCCCCGAAGAAATCCCGATCTGCTTTGGCTCTCTGAGGTTTCTGGTGAAAATTGTGGTAGAGCCGGTGGCCGTTGCGCCATCTTCGGCGGAGGCGGGTTCATCCCGGTCGGATGGGAGGAAGGAGAAGAGTCGCGAGCGGGAACCCCTAGAGTGCCTTCAGTCCCTGTGCTGCATGGGCGATCCCTTTTCGGCGATGCATGCGAACGTCGGTTCGTCTTTCAAGGATGGCGGTGGTGGGGCCAGGGCCAGACCGTCGTCCACTAAGGCTGGTCCGATCAAGAGATGGGTTAGGAAGGAAGGCCCACCTGTTTGTGCGTCCAAGAATAGTTTGGTTGCCATGTCACCCCATAACTTCAGGCCCTCTCCAAGTTTCCCCAAACCCACTTGTGAGCCCAACTTTTCTAATCCCTGTCTCGGCCCGGCCGTTTGTGAGAAGGTTACCCTCTACGTCATCTCTTCATTCCTATCCTCCTTCTTTCCTAGGCCAATCCTGTCCGACCTTTTCTCATTTCCCCTGTTCTTTGACTTCTCTTCTTGCTCGATTCCCATTCCCATCCATTTTGGTCTTCTCCGGTTCAGGTCGGGCAGTCCTCCTTCCCCGTCTCCAATTTCTGAACCCTCTAGCTTGGCTCTCCTCAAGGCTCCGTCACCACAGAGTCCATCAACCCCTAGTCCCCCACTTTCTATGGTCCCGTGTTCTTTGGATCCCTCTTTTTCGAACCCTTTGGCATCCGATCCTTTTGATCAGAAACACTGTGTGTAAATTTGTCCCAAGGTTCCCCCTCAAGCTGGTTACTCCCCACTTCAGACTGCCTTGATGATACTGCTGGTAATGATTGGAACAGAGATGTTTATCCCTTTGATTGTATTTTGCTTGTGGAAGCAAGTCTTGAGTTTGGGCATATGGTTGATTTGGAGCACAAAGATGGCCACGGAAAGGTTGAGGAAATCATTAGCAATCAGGCGATGGAGGTCCATAAAAGAAGCTAAGAAGGCCCCGCTCCAAGTTGGAATTTGGAATTAGGAGGCTTGGTCCTCTTGGCTCTCCCCCGTCGGGCCCTAGGAATCGAAGAATGCAAGGGAGCGGAGCTTTCTCACCAGTTCTCTAATGGGTTCGTCAATCATTGTCTGGAATGTTCGTGGATTGTGTGATCCTGAGAAGAGGGGCAGAATCAAGCGCCTTATTGGCAGGAAAAAGCCTATTGCAGTTGGTCTGGTGGAAACAAAATGGAGCCAATGTTCGAATAATCTTATAACTAGCATTAGTGGAAGTAGAGATTCAGGTTGGATTGTTAAAGATGCGAATGGTAGTTTGGGAGGAATTGCGATTTTTTGGGACAAATCGGTTGTGCAGGTTTGTTCTAGTCGTGTGGGGGATTTCTTTGTGGGTATCGAGCTCAAACTTCATTCTGGATCGGCCCCATTGTTTTTGGCTGTGGTTTATGGCCCGCAAGAGAGGGTGGGAAAATTGGCTTTTCTAGAAGAGCTCAATGGTCTCTGTCAACATATCCATGTTTCGGTTTGCATCGCTGGCGACTTTAATCTGGTGAGAAGCCAAGATGACTTTACTGGGCCAAGAAGATGTGCTGAAGTCATGTCTGAATTCAACAATTTTATCGACTCTCAGGCTCTTTTGGATCTTCCCTTGGGCGGAAGCCATTTCACTTGGAGCAAAGGGAAAAACAGTAACGTCATGTCGCGGATTGACCGTGTTCTGGTTAACACGGACTTTGACTCGTCTTTTCCAGATTGTACTCTTTCTGCCCTTGAGAGGGTCGAGTCGGACCATCGCCGAAGAGGATAAAAAGACCTTGACGCTTTGAGAATATGTGGTTAGAGGATGATAGATTTTTCTCCAGCCTGGATTCTTGGCTTCTTGACCCGATTGATGGGGTTGGGTGTATTTTCCTCCTGTCCAGGAGGCTCCAGCAGATTAAAAAAAGGATTAAAGTTTGGAATAAGGAGGTTTTTGGGAATGTTAATGAGAAAATTGAAGATCTCCTGGTGCGTATAAAGACCTGTGATTCGGTGGAGGAAACTGGTCAGCTTACAGATTCTGAGAGGGTCGACAGGGACGTGCTTAAGATGGAGCTGCGGAAAGCTCTCAATCTGCAGGAAATTAGTTGGAGGCAGAAATCCAATGAGCTGTGGCTTAAGGGTGGCGATCTTAACACTAAGTTTTTTCATAGAGTGGCGAACTATAGGCCAAACTAAACCTTATTGAATGTATTAAAGTGAATGGCAGGTTGTTGGAGGGAAGAGAAGATCTGGCTATTGGTGTGGTGGGTTTCTACCAGAATTTGTTTAAGGAGAGTCTAGAGTTTCGGCCCTTCCCCAAGAACTATGGCAGCAAGAAGTTGAGTATTTCGGTGGCATCTAGTTTGATTCGACCCTTTGCGGAAGCTGAAGTGTGGGCTGCCTTGTCATCTTTTGATGGTAGCAAATCTCCCGGGCATGATGGCTTTACCTATGGTTTTTTCAAGAAATGCTGGTTTCAAATGCGGTCGATGGGGATGCAGGCTTTTGAGGAGTTCCATAGGTCTGGTTCCCTTCCTAAAAGCATTGCACATTCCTTTATTTGTTTGGTTCCTAAGAAGGACACTGTTGAAGATGTAAGAGATCTGACACCCATTAGTCTTATGGGAAGTTTCAATAAGCTGCTGAGCAAAGTATTGATGGAAAGAATGAGTTCTACTCTTACCTCTCTTGTCTCTGATCATCAACACGCCTCTGTCCGTAGGAGACAAATTTCGGAAGCAGGGTTGATTGCTAATGAATTGATCGACAGCAGGCGCAAGAGCAAGAAACCTGGTCTGATGTTCAAGTTGGATTTGGAGAAGGCTTTCGACAATGCCAGCTGGGATTGTCTATTTAAAATTCTCTCAAGTTTTGATTTTCCTCTTAAGTGGCAGCAGTGGATTAGGGGGGTTATGTGATCTCCGGTTATCTCCATTCTTATTAATGGTGAGTCCCATGGCTTCTTCTCTAGCTCTAAAGGCCTCCGGCAGGGTGATCCTCTCTCCCCGGACCTTTTTGTCTTGGTTATGGATGTACTATCCTTTATGCTGAATAAACTGCATGAGAATGGAAAGCTTAAGGGGGTTTTCATCGATGAGATGCACTCTAGGGGTGAGGTTACTCATCTCCTTTTTGCAGATGACACTCTGGTTTTTTGTGATGCTTCCCCGGATCAGGTTCTGAACCTTCTGGGTACTTTGGTGTGTTTTCAAGCTGTGACTGGCCTTAAGATTAATCTGGAAAAATCGGTTATGTTCACAGTGGGTGACGTTCCGGAACCGAGTTTCTTTGCTGAGATTTTTGGCTACAAGTGGAGTCAAGACACTTCTAAGTACCTTGGGTTCCCTTTGGGAGCGAAACCGAACTCTGTTTCTGTGTGGGACCCGATTGTGAACAGTGTGCAGCGCCGTCTCGAAGGGTGGAAGGCCAAGATGCTATCGTTTGGTGGTCGCCTTACCCTGAACAGCAGCTGCCTCAATAGCCAGGTGGTGTATTATAGCTCCCTTTTCTCTGCTCCTAAGTCGGTTATTAAGAAGATTGAGAAGATTCAGAAAGGTTTCATTTGGAGTGGGAACAGCGAGAGGAGGAAATTTCATCTGGTTAGTTGGGACTTATGCAAGGCTACTAAGGATAATGGGGGCATTGGAGCTCTCGATATTGAATCTTTTAACCAGGCCATGCTTTGCAAGTGGTTGTGGAAATATGCTGAAGATCGAGGACGGTGGTGGCGCAACCTAATTGAGATCAAGTATTCTGATGGCTCTTCGACTTGGCACACTGGCAGGAACAAGGTGGGAAGAAATAGCTCGGTGTGGGCGAACATTTCGAAGATCTTTGACATGTTCTGGAAGTATGTTTGTATTGACCCGGGTGGAGGAGCCTGGGTTTCATTTTGGCATGATTGTTGGATCCCTAAGACTATTCTCGCTGACTCCTTCTCGCGCATTGCTGCTGCCCTCAGTCCTAACACTTGGATCTCAGACATTGTCTCCCGTTCAGGTGAGGATGTGAGGTGGGATTTAAATTTAAATTTGAGAGTTTCTCTTCGTGGGGGGGGGGGGGGGGGCTGAGAGGGAAAGGGCTCGGTTGATTGATTTCCTTAATTCAAATGCTTCTAGTCGTTTGGGTTTTGGCCCTGCTCGGATCGAGTGGTCGCCAAATCCAGACTCTGCTTTCTCTGTTCGTTCCTTTTACAGGCAGTTGACGGCTTCTCGTTACCCGGGAGTTCAACACTTCCCAGCCAAGGCAGTTTGGAAGGCGGTTGTCCCTGTTAAGATTTGTAGCATTATGTGGATTTACTTCCATCGGAAGATTCTTACCATGGATAATCTTAAGAAAAGAGGCTGGGCGCTTGCAAATCGATGTGAGCTCTGTCAGAAAGAAGAGGAATCTGCTAGCCACCTGTTCGTGGACTGTGCTTTCACTAAGGAGGTCTAGGGCGGCATCATCTCTTTTTGTCCAGGTACCTTGGGTCCTTCTGGCGACATCGTTTCCACCATTAGGGACTGGCCATTGGACATCCCAGATTGCATGGAGGAGTGGATTGCTTTCTGCGGCCTTCATGCTATCTGCTGGGTTGTTTTGCGTGAGAGGAATAACCGAATCTTCAACCAGTCGCAGACCACACATGGAGTTTTATCGAGAAGGATCATCAGAACCATTGTTGAGTGGGTCATTGCTAAAGGGAAAATATCTAGGGATCTTGGTTCCGGCTGGCTGACTACTCATTTGACCCGCTGATCGTCTGTGTGTTTGTTGCTGCTCTTTTCTGGATCGTCGCCTGGGGTTGGTTTTTTGGCTGGGCTGATTGGCCTCTCTTTTGAGTCTTCTGTTTGTGGCTGTGTAACGTGTTGCTACGTTGCCTGATGGTGTATTTTCTTTGCTTTTTTGGTTTGTTTGTTTTTTATGGTTTGGTTGCTTCTGTTTTTTCATTCGTTTTGCTCTTTCCAGACTTTTTGGCCCTTTCCAGTCATCCCTTGTGACTGCTGGCTTTTGTTTGCTTTCTCTGTACTTCCTTTCCATTCTTATTAATTCAAGTTCACCATTATCAAAAAAATTTATCTATGATTTGTAGGTCATGAAAGTGGAGGGTCTAGAAGGATTCACCAAAAATCTTCAAAATCCAGTTGAAGACTTGTATTATGTTGTTACTAAAGAGAAGGCCGGGGATACGAATTGGGACAAGTAAGACGTTTTTTAGTATGTGTGGTCGACCGTTTAGGTCATGAGGCCGACCGTTTATCAAATAAGGTCGACCTTGACTATGAACAGGCCGACCTGTACGTTGCAAATCACACATGACATTTTTGTTATTTTGATTTTTGCATCTTGACCGTTGTTGACTTTTTTCTGAAAACGTGCAACAAAATTATTTGAGTTCTGACTCGACTCTACTGTCACTCCAGGAATTGGCCAAGTGTAACCACTTCCTAAAGCGTAGTATAGCGGGTTTAGGTTTAATTATCAACCCGGGTCCTAGATGTGATGACTACTCAGTGAATTCTTGTTATCTAGCAATGAAAATGAAATGCAAGTCTAAACTAACAAACTAACAAAGCAAGTAAACTGTTGTATTCAGGTTAAGAGAGGTCACCCGGATATGGTTCCCCCTAGACTGCAGTTAAGCCGGATGGTAATTACCAAGTTCAGTTTCTATGACAGTTATACTGCGGAAGGTTCTTAAACAGCCTGAAGTCTCAACTAAAGGTCTTCAGACCCTCTCAATCTGACTCTCTAGCGGGCGAC